CAGTAAACTGGAAGTGGTTCTGTGGCTGAAGTGGTAGAGCACTTGCCTTGAGCTGAAGAGCTGAGGGACAGCACTCAGGCCCAGAGTTCAAGCCCCATGACCAAAAAAAAAAAAAGCTGTATTAGACAATAATTTAAAAGCCACATATCTATTCAAATTGTATAATTTAGTGGCTTCTAGTATATTCAGAGGTATGCAGAATTCACCATATTCTTTTTGTTTCCTTTCCTCCCTCCTCTTATTCTTTTCCCATCCTTGGCAGGGTCTTGCTATGTAGCCTAGGTGGGCTAGGACCTCATGATCCTCATGCTTCAGCCTCAAATGCTGGGATTGCAGAGATGCACATCATGTGTTTCTTTTTCTTTTTTTTTGCCAGTTGTGGGGCTTGATTTTAGGGCCTGGATTTCTTTTGCTCAAAGCTAGCACTTGAGCCACAGCACCACTTCCAGTTTTCTGGTGGTTAATTGGAGATCAGAGTCTCAAGGACTTTCCTGCCTGGGCTGGCTTTGAAATGTGATCCTCAGATCTTAACCTCCAGAGTAGCTAGGATTACAGGCGTGAGCCACTGGCACCCAGCTCATAATCTTTTTTTTTTGGGGGGGTCCAGTCATGGGGCCTGAACTCTGGGCCTGGGCGCTGTCCCTGAGCTCTTCAACTCAAGGCTAGCGCTCTACCACTTGAGCCACGGCGCCACTTCTGGCTTTTTTTTTTCCTGCTTATGTGGTGCTGAGGAATCGAACCCAGGGCCTCATGCATGCAAGGCAAGCGCTCTACCACTGACCTTCCCAGCCCTCTTTTTTAATGTTGGGTATTCAATATATTTTAAACTAATGCCTACTAATTGTACTAATTATATTAACTGAAGTCTATCATAGGTAATCAGTTTACCACTAAGCTACACCCCCAGGCTTAATTTCAGTTCTTTACAAACAATACTAAGACATGCTGTTTCTTCCCAGTTCCTTAAAATTGCCCATCTCAAAGCACTCCAAGAATCAGGATCTATACGGGTCTGGAAAGATGCCCAAGAGAAAGGAAAAAGCATCTCTTCCCACTAGGTAAGACCTAGAATGTCACTTCTGGAGTGGAAAGGCAAAGGCACCGAGATGAGAAGGACCAAATCACAGCCCCTTCTCTGGGAGTCTAAACTGGATCCGTTGAATTTCTGGAGACAATTCAAGGTCACCTGTGACAGGTGAGAGTTCATGTAAATCCAAGGTAGGGCCTGTTTCTGATTTGTGTGTATGTGTTTGTGCGTGAGTGGGGTATGTGTGTGTGTGTGTTGACAGAACATAAAAGCATTGGCTTACTCCCAGTACTCTGGTGGAAAGGCAAGAGGATCTCCAGTTCTGGGCCAGCCTGGCTACAAAGCCGGATCCTGTCTCAAAATCAAAACAAAGTGTTTCAGAAAGTCCTGCTTGCCTGGGAGAGGTGGCTCACGTCTGTAATCCTAGCTGTTCAGGACGTTGAGATCTGAGGATTGTGGTTCAGGTTCAAAGCCAGCCTTGGCTGGAAAGTCCATGAAACTCTTATCTCCAATTAACGAGCAAAAAGCCAGAAGTGGAATGGTGGCTCAAGTGGTAGAGCACTAGACTTGAGCAGAAAAAGCCAAAGGATAGAACCCAGGCCGAGTTCAAAGCCTGGTGCATGTGCAGCTAGCCAATTCAGCAGTCACCTGGTAGAGCTTAAGGTGCTCCATCCAGGGCTGGGAAGGTGGCTCAGTGGTAGAGCGCTTGCTTTGCATGCCTGAGGCCCTGGGTTCGATTCCTCAGCACCATATAAGCAAAAAAGAAGAAAGCCGGAAGTGGCACTGTGGCTCAAGTGGTAGAGGACTAGCCTTGAGCTGAAGAGCGGAGGGACAGTGCCCAGGCCCAGAGTTCAGGCCCCACGACCAGACCCAAAAAAAAAAAAAGATGCTCCATCCATTCATCTTTGAACTCAGGGTTTTGAGTTTGCTGTCCAGATTTCTACTGAGCCAAACCTGCACACCTAAGGTTGCCACCTTTTTTTGTTGTTGTTGGTCATGGGGCTTGAACTCAGGGCCTGGGCGCTGTCCCTCCGCTCTTCAGCTCAAGGCTAGCGCTCTACCACTTGAACCACAGCACCACTTCTGGCCTTTTCTATTTATGTGGTGCCGAGGAAATCGAACCCAGGGCCTTATGCATGTGAGGCAACCACGCTACCACTGAGCCACCTTTCCAGCCTCGGATGCCACTTCTTAAATTTTAAGTCTCACAAGGACATCAATGCTAAATGGTCTGGGATCTGTTCTTAAGAGAAATGGCCTAGCAGATTGCTTTGTGTGGGTGAACATGGGTTCGAACCTACCTGGCATCTACTTGGAGCCGGTAATACTGAATAACAACCGACACCATTGCTGCTAATGAGATAACTTCAGTGAGGAGGCGCGATCGGCGGCGGGGGACGGACGGGACTGGGCGAGGAGGCCGGCCCGAGGCGGGCACGGGCTTCCTGAGCCCCGGGCAGGCAGCTGGGGCGGGAAGCTGGCCGCGCCCGCGCCCGTCACCACCGCGAGCAGGGCGCCCCCCGGCGGAGGAGCTAGTTCTCGAGTGGGAAGCCGCCGGCTCCGCGGCCCGGGGACCGGGGCCGCCACGCGGCTGCTGCCGGCTCCCGGGAGCGGCCGCGGCCCTGGCCAGCGTTCCCCCCGCCCCCCTCCCCGGCTTCCCGGGGCCGCGGAGGGGGGAAGCCCCGGGATCCCCAGGCTGCGAGGCTCGGCGCGGGCGGCCAGCCGCGCAGGACCCGCGGGGAAGGCCAGCCAGGCCCCGGTGGGCTCCGGGGAGCGCGCCGGAGCGGCGCCCCGCCGCGCAAGTTGCGATCGCGGAAAGGAAAAAAAAAAAAAAGCGAGCCCGGGCCGCCTTCCCGCCGCGGCGGCTCGCCCCGCCCCGCCCCGGCCCGCCCCGGCCCGGCCCGGCCCGCGCCCCGCGCCCGGCCCGCGCCCGCCGGCCCTGCGGACCCCGGCCACACAGGCCGGGCTCCTCGCGGCGGCGGCGGCGGCCTTTTCTTTCTTTCTTTCCTTTTTTTTCTCTGCGTCGCTTGCCAACCTGTCAGCTGATAGACCTCATCACCCATAGTGGCGCATGTAGCCGGGGCCGCGTCTTGCTCCATTCACGCCGCGGCCCCCCGAGCCGGCCCGCGGCCTGGGGTCCCCGGTGCCCGGGAGGAGGCCCGCAGACCCAGGCTGCGGCCGGCCCCCGGGGGCCCGCGGCCCCCGTCGTCCCGGTCCCGCGCCGCCCGGGTTGGGAGGGGGGAGGAAACACTGCAAATAGTCCTTTGTTTACATGCAATTCCTTACTCCGCGGAAGGAGGCCGGGGGAGTGCTCAGTTTTCACCAGCTGTTTCCCGCCTTGAAACAGACATCTGATCAGCTGCAAACACACACACACACATACACACGCCCGGGGAGGCAGGCCGGAGAGACCTCCCTCCCGCCCCTCCCGCCCGCCTCCCTCCCCGCGCCGCCGCCGCCGCCGCCGCCGCCAGCATCTGGGACCGGCCGATTCTGCACCTCCGTCCGGCGCTACCCTTTGATTCGGATTTCCATCTTGCATTCTCCAGCGGACGGCGGGACCTGGCTCGTGCAGAGGAGGGGGGCCGATCGCCATGGAGTATTTCATGGTGCCCACTCAGAAGGTGCCCTCTTTGCAACATTTCAGGAAAACAGAGAAAGAAGTGATAGGAGGGCTCTGTAGGTGTGTACTCCTCCTCTCCCCCACCCCTTCCTCCCACGGCAGCCCCTGGCCGGCCCGCCCGGGCGGGCGCGCGTGTGCGCACGCATGGCCCGCGCCCGCCGACCTCGCTCGCCTTTCTTAGCCGCCGGGGGCGGCTGCAGCCCCGCGGGGTCGGGCTCGCGCCGCCGGGGGAACCCTCTCCTCTCAGGCCGTGGGGGCCCTGGACGGCCCCGGTCACTTTTGTCCACTGCGGGCGGACGAGTCGCGACGTTTGTAAATTGCAAACAGACCCACGTGGTTCTGCAGCAGTCCCGGCCATGCTTGGTGTTGGTGGCTTCCCCCCTCCCCGCGCTTCCTCCACCCCCCTCTCGCGGCGGCTTCCTTCCTCTCCCCGCTTCCTCGCGCTCTCCGGGCGCCCCCTCCCGAGGGGGGTGGGGGATCGGGGCGCGCGTGGGGCCGCGGTGAGGGGGGCTACAATGCAGCCATGCCGCGGCTCCGGGCGCGCGGGGGGGGGGGAGCCAGGTGGCGTGCGTGTGTGCAGGGAGCGGGGCTGCAGCGGGGTTCCCGGCGTGGGGCTGCGGGGCTGCGCGCGGGCTGCGGCGGGGGGGGGGGCGGCGCGGGGGGCCGCGGCCCCGGGCACGTTGGCGGCTGCCCGCTCGCCCGCTCGCCAGCCCCGCGCCCGGGCGCTGTTTACTAGCGAGGCCTGGACGTGACTCTGCAGCCCTCTTGGAGTAGGCGGACCTCCGCGCGCGCGGCCTCACGGGAGATGTAGTGCGCCGCGCCGCGCCAGTGTGGCATTGTGGGACTCGTAGGCGCTCGGAGCCACGCTTTCCGCTCACAAAGCTCGGCCCCCGCGGACAGGGTGGCCGGGCCGGCCGCGTGGGTCCCCGGCGGGCCGGGGGTGGGGGGCCCGCGTCCCGGCCGGGGGGTCGCCCCGGTGCCCGGCCGCCGGCTTCCCCGGCCGCTCTCCGCCGCACGTGGGTCTCCAGTGCAAACTTTGCCACCCCGCGGCCCCGCTCCCACCGTAACCGAAGCGGCGGCGCCCGGGCCGGGGCCTCCCCGGAGCCGCTGTGCCCGCTGGGCCCTGCGGGGCTCCGGACCCGCCTCTGGCCAAAGCCCCGGGCTCTGCGGCCACGCCGGGCGCGGAGTCGCTAGGGACGCTTGCTGAGGACACGCACAGCGTGGGACTGCGCGGGCCGCGTGCGGGAGCGGGCCCGCCGGGCGCGGTGCCCGCCGGGGACCGGGAGCCCCCAGACCTGGGGCCCCTTTCCTGCTGCTTTGCTCCTGGAGCGCAGTGGCTCCCCCCGGCCGGGGCCACGTGCTCCGACGCCCCGGGCCGGCGGCGGGGGCTGGGAGGGGAGGAGCCCGCGCCCCGGCCGCGGAGCGGGATCCGCAGGTGGTGGCGCAGGTGGTGGCCGGGCCTCTAGGTCGCAGTCAGGAGGGAAGGTGGGCCTGGCACCCGGCAGGAGCCCTGCGGTCCGCAACATCACGGCCAACAAAACGTCCCGAGCCCCTTATGTGGTCTGGGTCCTCTCTCTGCCAGGATTTCTCTCAGTTACTAGATAATCCTCCTGTGAATCAAAGAGATCAGTTAGACAGCCAGTGGTGCTGGAGCCAGGATGGGAACTGCGGGTTCTGGGGCCCTGCGTTCCTGTGGTCTGCTGGCTGCCCCCGGCTGGGCTGGTCAGTTGGGAGGTGGGCTGGAGTTGTTCCTCCTGCTGGAGAGGAGGGTCCAGGTTCTGACCCTGCACACTCAGGTGTCAGGCCCCAGGTGCTCCTTCAGGGGGGCGGCCAGCAGACTCTCCTGAAGGACTGAGCTTGGCCAGCTAAATGCTTGAAGTGGCAGGACCTGCCTTCAAGCCCATAGGCCCTCAGCCTGCCCACTGCCAGCTGTGCACTGGACATGGAGTCCAGAGTCTGAGTCCGCCCCTTCTCAGCTGGGGCTGCAGGGGGAAGCCGGAGGCCCGTCCAGGATGGAGTGTGGGGGCTGGGCAGGACTTTATGGCTGGATGGACTCACTTTTCTCCGTTGTCTCAGGCTGGTGGACTTTGCTCCAGTGGGCCCTCCCTGCCTCTCCTCACTCTCCAGGCCAGCCACAGGGCTGTGTCACACCTCGAATATCTGGGCCTGTTGCCTAAGGGTCCTCAGACTTGGTTCAATGTGAGGATTAGGTAAGGGAAGCACCCAGTTCAGTTGGGTCCCTGTGTTTTACAAGACACCAGCTAGATGGTACTAGCAATGATAGGTGGTCTGAGACTCCAGGCTGGCCCTGGTCTGTTGGGGAGGAGGGAGTGTATGGGTAGAGGGAGTGTATGGGTAGAGACCTGTCATGTAGGAGGGATGAATGTCACTGGGGGAGTTCTTCCCCTCCCCTTTTCTGGAAGAAATGGGAGGAATCCTTGTGGACATGCCCCACCTCTGGACGTTAAGTGGCTCAGGGATGTTGAATAGGTCCAGGGTGGTATGAGTGAGATTTCTTACTGGGCACTGGGGGCTGGAACTGGCAAGGCAGGTGAAGAGAGTGGAGGATACTTGAGATACAGGAGAGACAGGTACCCATCAGAGATCTAGACCTAAAAAGTATACTTCCTGCCTTCTGAGGATCTGCTTGGGATGCCAGCAGAATCTGGGGGTACTCTGGTAGGATGGATGGTAGCTCTGTTTTCCCAAATTCAAAGCTAATGATCCAGTTTTGTTCCTTGGCTCTTTGTCGACTCTCTGGTGCCCTCCCTTATTCCTGAGGCCAGCAACTCCTGCTCAGCTTCAGCAAGACTGGCTGTGAGTGGGGGTGGAGGTGAGTGAGGGGTGGGGTAAGCTGGAGCTGTGTTTGCCAGGGGTCTCTACCACTGCTTTCCTGGGGAGTCTGCCCTTAGACAGGGGGCAGTGGGACTTTTTAACCACGTGGCTAAATACTTGGGAGTGGAGTTCACGTCTGCAAAACTCAGAAGTATAAGTAACTCGCAGGCATATGTAGAAAGACCACTGTCTCTGGTGCAGTGTCACCCTTTATCAATGGAACTTTGGGTCCTGCAGCATGCAGGACCCCTAGCTGTCCTGTAGCTCACCACTTGGCGCCTCTGGTTAGTCTGCATTCTGCCAATCAGAGCCCCTGGTTAGCCTGAATCCCGCCAATCAGAGGTTCCCTTGCAAATAGCCTCAAACAATCTGGCAGCTCTTTAGGTGAGTTATCATTGCTGGTTCTTAGTGGCAAATCCAAGTCTTGCTTATGTAGTCTTGTGGGGGAAAACGTCTCAGAGTTAAGTCTAGCATCTGGTTCCCAGCCTGAAGGCCTCGCCGATGGGTTTGGAGGGGAAGGGTAATGATGAGCATTGTGGCTTCTGAGGAGCTGAGGTAGAGCCCTGCTCCTGGGCTGGGCTGGGCTGGACCTTTTCTTTCTGGGAACTCGAAGGCTGAGGTGTTCCAGGCCGAGGCCCTGCAGTCTCCTTTGGGCAGCTGCCCCTCTGCGCTCCAGGGAAAGTCTGTGATTATCCCCCCCCCCCATTTTTTTATGAGGGTACTGGGGATTGAACTCAGGGCCTGCGCTCTGATGCTTAGCTTTCTTGTTCAAGTCTGTTGAGTCTCTACCAGACTTGAGCCACAAGTTTTGGTGTTCAGAGATAAAGAGTCTTCTGGACTTAACTGTTCAGGCCAGCTTCGAACTCCAATCCTCAGAGTAACTGGGATTATGGGCACACTGACTCTGTGGGCATTAAGAGGCAACACAGTGACCGGGCTCACAGGGCGCCTGGCACTCCTGCGGGGAGCACTCGCCGCCTGCTCTTCCCTGTGGCCTGACCCCTGCTCTGGGGTTCCGAGGCCATTGCTGCCGCTGGTCCCTTCCGGTCTCTTCCGGAGCCTCTGCTGCCTTTTCGTGGGCATTATAAGGCGACCTGATGGGGGAGGGGGAGGAAAGATAGTGACAATTCAGTGAGAAGATTCTAGCAAAGTAAGTGCAACACATAGGAAGAATAAATACAGCCCTTTTTTTGGCGTGGGGGGGAGGTAGGCCTACCACATGAGCTGATTGTCAAGGTGACCTGATGGCTGACCCAGGGCTGTCCCCCCCACCCCCCCTCCATACTAGGGACGTGTTCTGCCACTTGAGGCATGTCCCCAGCCAGGGCTCCTTTTCGAACTCAGCCCGGGATCAGCTCTGCCTGAGTCTCACCCACAGGTGACTGTCCACATCTCCTGAGGGGGGACGGGCTGCTCCCCGGCAGCTCTGGGTCACTGGCACTGCAGAGAAGAGCAAGCCCTGTGCCCGGGTCTCCTGACCTGCATGGGGAGGGGGGGCGGGGCAGGGCCAGGCTCCCAGGGTGGACGGTCCAGGGTCAGCGTCTCTCTTCCCTGCCAGGGTAGGGGGGTGGGAGAAGAGAGGCTCCCCAGCCTGAGGCTGGTGGGCTGGATGTCCAGCCGTCTGAGCTAGCTCTTAAGTGAAGGGGAGCCTTCAGCCTTGTCTGTAAAGTAGGGGACCTGGGCCCCTTCCTGGCGCTCACATTCTCTGTGAAGTTCCCCCCCTTCCCTCCCCCCCCCCACTGTATGTGGGAGGGGAGGGAGCCAGGCAGGGCTGGTAGGTTGGGGTCTGGGTCTGTGGTCCTGATGAAGTTGGGGCCTGGCGTGGGGAGGCAGGAGGGGGCTGTTTTCCCTGTGGACCCGGAACACTCACTGGGAGCCATGCTCGCTCCGTCGGCAGAGAAAGCCCAGGAGGCCGGGGAAAGGGGCAGGAGGCGGCCAGGGTCCCTGGGGAGGCTGGGTGGGGCAGGACAGGCCTCAGCCGCTTCCAGCTGTGGCATGTGTGTGCTGCTCCCGGGCCGCTGTGAGCTCCTTTCCCCTGGGGATCGGGACAGGGCCCGAGTCACAGCAAGGGACGTAGACCAGGTACCTCCCTTGACCCTGTCAAATGAGATGAGGGCTGCCCAGAGGCCTTTCCTCAATCCACAGGGCTCAGGGCCTGAGCGGCCGTGGCTGGCAAGTGGGGAGCAGGTCACCCGAGGAGGGCCCCTCAGGAAGAGGCCAGGCTGTGGCTTTGGGTGGGGCTGGCGGCCTCTGCTGGGAGCCAGCATCTGGAAGCCATCAGGCCGAGGGTGGGGGGAGTTGCGAGGGAGGCTGGGAAGGGGGGCATGCCTCCTCCAGGCCACACACAGCCCACCCCGCGGGAGCAGTGGCGTCGGGCCCACGGGCTGTGCTGGTGTCTTGCCTCCCGCCAACGCCTTGGCTCCCCGTCGCCCCCATCCATCCCTGGCTGCCTCTTCTCTCACCCCAGGGCTCCTGCAGCAAGCACTAACACGGCCCACTGCATTCTGGGAGTCTCACTTCTCAGGCACAGAGTAGGTCTGCCTCTTGGGGTGGGTGGGTGTGGGGGCTGTTGGCCAGGTGTCTTTTCTGTGGAGTGATGCCTGCCTTGTCTTCTCTGTAGTCCTGGGGCGCGGGATGTGGTGGTTGGTGGTGTCTGTGGTGGGGACGAGGGGGGAGTGTGGGGGAGACCAGAGGCTTGTGGCTGGAGCCACAGCTGTGCGGGGATGTGCGGGGACATCTCAGAATGGGGCGCCCAAGGCTGAGATCCTGAAGGAGCGGGGGTCGAGGTGCTGCCAGCAGCTCAGAAGCATCCAAGGAGCAGAGGGCTCCAATGTGGCCCAGGCTCTATCTGCAGCAGAATCGCAGGGCTTAGACAGACACTCAGCTTTCCAGTCCTGTCAGGCAGATGCTGGGCTTGCCGTGAGGAGTCGCCTGGTCATTAGCCCTTGGATGTTGCTGCCCAGGCAGAGCTCCGGAACCTTTATTTCAGAGAAGCCTTTCTGCAGGAAGGAAGCAAGCCAGGGAGCCCTGTGGGTTCTCCCGCACACTGCCCAGCTTGCTATGCTGGCTTCTCTTTTCTACAACCAGCTGATCTGGCCTAGTGGGCATCCTAGGGGCATCCTTCCATCGCCCTTGAGCTGTGTGTGTGTGTGTGCGTGCACACGCGCGTGTGCATGCACTAGGACTGGGGCTTCAACTCGGCGTCCCACTCTTTGTTGTTGTTTCTTTTCTTTCTTTTTTTTTGGTTGGTCGTGGGGCTTGAACTCTGGGCCTGCGCGCTGTCCCTGCGCTCTTCAGCTCAAGGCGAGTGCTCTACCGCTTGAGCCACTTCCTTTTTTCTTTTCTTAAAGCTGGCTCTGTACCACTTAAGCCATACCTCCACATTTGGCTTTTTGGTGATGAACTGGAGATAAGAATCTCATGGACTTTTTGCTGTCCCAGCTGGCATTGAACCCCAACCCTTCAGTCTCAGTCTCCGGAGTAGCTGGGATTCCAGGCATGAGCCAGGGCACTTGGCTGCTCTTTGAGTGATTTGCGGGGTGTAGACATCGGCCGGCCTGGTGTGCGTGGCAGGAAGGGAGGGGGCGCAGGTTACACTTAGGGGCCTCTGCAGACCAATTGTGAAGACATGGGCTCACTGGGAGCGGGGTTCAGGAGACACCTACCGCAAGCCTGTCCCTGTGTTCCCTCGCAGCCTTGCCAACATTCCACTGACCCCCGAGACCCAGCGGGACCAGGAGCGGAGGATTCGCCGGGAGATCGCCAACAGCAACGAGCGGAGGCGCATGCAGAGCATCAATGCGGGCTTCCAGTCCCTCAAGACCCTCATTCCCCACACAGACGGAGAGAAGCTCAGCAAGGTGGGCGGCGGCGGCGGCAGCAGGGCCGGGAAGGGCCTCCGGGAGGAGCTGGTCTCTGGTAGGCAGCAGGTGAGCTTGGGGTAAACCCCTCCAGCCAGCCTGACTCTCCGTCCTTCCTGCCCTCAGGCAGCCATTCTCCAGCAGACAGCCGAGTACATTTTCTCCTTGGAGCAGGAGAAGACCAGGCTCCTGCAGCAGAACACACAGCTCAAGCGTTTCATCCAGGTAGCCACCGAGGGCTCCTCCCTTCAGGGCCCGGCCCTCTCTGCATGGGTGCGTGCCCCCATCCAACCCTTGGGCTGGGATGCATTTTGGATGCTGCTGGGCCTGTCTTGCCCCCTGACCCTACTGCCTGAGCACTTGCCTTTCTGCAGGGGCCTCAGTTTCCCTATCTGTCAAGCGAGTGGGGGTCAAGAGTGGGGGTATGGGTGTGTCAGTCAGCACACTCACCAATTCCTTGGGGTCCCCAGGAGCTGAGCGGCTCATCCCCCAAGCGGCGGCGGGCAGAAGACAAGGATGAGGGCATCGGTTCCCCCGACATCTGGGAGGACGAGAAAGCCGAGGACCTGCGCAGGGAGATGATTGAACTGCGGCAGCAGCTGGACAAGGAGCGCTCGGTGCGCATGATGCTGGAGGAGCAGGTGAGGCAGCGCCCTCTGCCGGCCGGGGCCCGGCGTGGCGGGCCGTGGAGGAGCGGGCGAGGCAGCGCCGGCGCCCTCTGCCGGCCGGGGGCGGGCATGGATGGCGAATCGATTGTTCTCTGCCTTCTCTGACCCATGCTTGCCTTCAGTGGGCATAACTGTATAAGTGTGTACCGTACAGCAGGGAGAGGAGAGTAAGCCGACACCCTGCTCCCCAGGGTCACCCTTTATATGTCAGAGGCTTCTTACTGGAATAAAAGGGGGGGTGGATTACCTGTAATCCTAGCACTTGGGAGGGCTAAGGCCAGAAGATCAGGATGTTGAGGACAACCGAGCTACATAGTGAGTTCCAGAACAGCCTGGATGACATCAGGAGTCCCTGGCTTACATGGAAACTAGAAAGCAGTGGAGGGCTGGGGTGTGGTTTGGTGGTAAAGTATATTCTTAGCATGGAAAGCGCTGGGTTCAGTCTCTAGCATGTAGCATAAAAAGTAGAGTGAAGCACCTGAGATAGGACCGTAGGAACTGTGCCTTAGGAGGGCCTTGATTCTCCAGGGGCTGCCCCACTGCTGCTTCGAGGAGAGGGGCTAGCCAGGCAAAGAAGGCGGGGGAGCGCAGGTGGCTCACGCCTATAGTACTAACTACTGAGGAAGCTGAGATCTGAGGATCACAGTTCAAAGCCAGCCCGGGCAGGAAAGTCTGTGAGACTCTTATCTCCAATAAACCACTAAAAAAACCGGAAGTGGCATTGCAGCTCAAGCAGTAGGGCGCTAGCCTTGAACCGAAGATCTGAGGGACAGTGCTCAGGCCCAGAGTTCAAGCCCCAGGACTGACCAAAAAAAAAAAAAGAAGGGGGAGTAGGGCCCAGGCCCAGGGAACAGCTGAGGTTTTCCTGAGTGCCTGCCTTGTCGCTGGTGGAGCAGCCTCTGAGCGCCGTTTCTCCGCTGCAGGTGCGCTCGCTGGAGGCCCACATGTACCCGGAAAAGCTCAAGGTGATTGCGCAACAGGTGCAGCTGCAGCAGCAGCAGGAGCAGGTGCGGCTGCTGCACCAGGAGAAGCTGGAGCGGGAGCAGCAGCACCTGCGGACCCAGGTGCGCGGGAGGACCCGGGAGGGCGCCGTGGGGCTGCACGCCGGTGCCTTGAGGGCAGATCCCGGCTGGCTTCTGGGTGTCTCACACTTGTATCTGTTAGTATATGGAATCTTCCTGAGCGGTGACACTCCTGTTTTCCTGATGGGAAAATGGAGGCACAGAAAGGTCAAATAATATGTCTAGGTGTCAAGTGACTGGGAGCAGAGGTGTAGATCCCGGCCGTCTTAAATCCAGAGTTGACGGGCTGGGACTGTGGCTTAGTGGTAGAGTGCTTGCCTAGCACGCATCAAGCCCCGGTTCGATTCCTCAGTACCACGTACACAGGAAAAGTCCGAAGTGGCACTGTGGTCAAGTGGTAGAGCGCTAGCTCTGAGCAAGACGAGCTCAGGGACAGCGCCCACGCCCTGAGTTCAAGCTCCAGGAGTGGCAAAAAAAACAACAACAAAAAGCAAGTCCAGGGTTGATGCTTTTTCTGTGTGTATGTGTGTTGATGGGGATTAAAGGGAGATTAGAACCCTGTGCTTGCCAGGCAGGCACCTCTCCCCAGAGTGTCCACTCACAAGCAGTGTTGTATCAGATATTAAGCTGCCACTTGACTCAGAAAACTGAAGGGTCCTGGGTCTAGGGAAGGCCAAAAGCCAGTGTCTAGGCTGCCATTTCCCCAGTTTGCAGTCTCAGAAGGGTGCGTCTGGGTTATGAGCTGCCTCCTCGCCCCTTGTGTCTGTCAGCTTTCTGCCACCATAGCACACACCTGAGATGATCACACTGCAAGGAGGGGAAGGCTATTGTAGCTCAGTTTTGAACACTGCAGCCTGTTGTGCATTGATTCTTTGGTGAGACACCGTATCGTGGTGGGAGTGTGTGATAGATCGAAACCATTTGCCAAAGAGAGAGAGAAGAGACAGGCCGGGGTCCTGCCCCCCCACAGAGACCTCCCAGTAGTCCCTACCTTTTGCACCTTTCTAACACGGGAAGACGGTAGAAAGTGGAAGACTGAGGACGTGCGTCTTGCAGCTCCTGCCTCCTCCGGCCCCCACCCACCACCCCACGGTGATCGTGCCTGCGCCAGCCCCACCCCCGCCCCACCACGTCAACGTCGTCACCATGGGGCCCTCCTCCGTCACCAACTCTGTTTCCACATCCCGCCAAAATCTGGACACCATCGTGCAGGTACCTGGGCTCTGGGAAAGGGTGGCGTATGGGTTGTAGTGGTGAGAAAATGAGGATGGGGGGAGGAGCAAGATGGCGGGGGGGGGGAGGGGGTGGGGTGGGGAGGGGTGGGCACTTGTGAGAGGGAGGAGGTAGAGGTCTGGATGCCCGCCCGGGTCTCCTTCCCTGTGTCTGTTGGGACAGAGAGGCAGGTGGCTTGGAAAAAGAACCTAAGAGGCTCCTTGGTTCCTAGAGCCTTCTGATTACAGCCAGTGCCCAGCTGTTGGCATGATGTGTACTGGAATGTTCTCTCACCTCCATTTCCAGAACTCAGGATGGTACTGAGGTGGCAGTGAGTGGGTAGATGGTGCCTACCCCTCCATTGCCATCAACAGTAGCAGAACAATGTGATTCATCCTGGGTTTGGTAGTGCATATCTGTAATTCCAGCTATTTGGGAGGTAGAGATAAGAGAATGAAAAGTTCGAGTCCAGCTTGCTCAAAGTCAGCACAGCACTATCTCAAAAACAAAAAATAAAACTCCAGCCAGGTGCCGGTAGCTCACGCCTGTAAGCCTAGCGACTCAGGAGGCTGAGATCTGAGGATCGCAGTTTAAAGCCAGCCTGGGCAAGAAGGTCTGTGAGACTCTTACCTCCAATAAACCATCAGAAAACCCCAAGTAGCGCTGTGGGTCAAATAGTAAAGTGCTTGCCTTGAGCTGAGGGACAGTGCCCAGGCCTAGAGTTCAAGCCCTATGACCAACAAAAAAATAATTAAAAACAAAGCAAAACAACAACAACAAAAAAACGCCAAGCCAGGCTCTGGTAGCTCGTGCCTACAATCCTAGTTACTCAGGAGGCTGAAACCTGGAGGATCTTGGTTTGAAGGCAGCCCAGGGCAGAAAAGTCCATGAGAATCCATCTGCAGTTAACCAGTACTCATCCTGGGTTGAATGGAAGAGTGGCTTCAGTGGTGGAGCGCCAGCCACGATGGCGAGTTCGAGGTCCTGAGTCTAAGCCCCAGCAGCGGCACAAAACACCAAACAAAAAAAACAAACACAAAATTTCTGAGGATGTGTGGCCCAAGGGGTTGAAGCACTTGCCTGGTGTGCAGGAGGCCCTGGGTTCGATCCCCAGTGCCAGCACAGAAACAACTAGTGAAAGCCCAGACATCAATCCCTGGAACTTTCATTCCCTATCAACCCAGCAAACAATAATAGAGTTAATAAGAAGGTCTTCAGTACGTCCACAGACAGATGTGTAACCGCGTGTGTGTCGTCAGTTCCAGGCAGCTCTGGGACTGTGGGCTTCGTGGAAGGGGGTCTTGAACTCAGCCGAGGCATGGCATGCCCTCTCCCCCTTTGTCAGGCTTGTTTCTGGATAGTTCTGGGTGGGATGTTTTTGGAGGGGAATATCGGGGCGGGGGTCCCCAGCGCAGCCTCCTCAGTGGCCTGTCCCCATCCAGGCGATCCAGCACATCGAGGGCACCCAGGACAAGCAGGAGCTGGAGGAGGAGCAGCGGCGAGCGGTCATAATCAAGCCGCTCCGCAGCTGCCCGGAGCCCCACACCTCCGACACCGCCTCCGACTCGGAGGCTTCAGACAGCGAGGCCATGGACCAGGGCCGGGAGGAGCCGCTGGGAGACGGCGGGCTTCCCTGACCACCCCCCCCAGCCCTCCTCTCCCTTCTGGGGGCTGGAGGGGGCCGGGGGGCAGCACCAGGGAGACATGTGGGTGAATGAGTGAGAAATTTTTACAAAATTGACGATGTCATTTGGGTCTCTTTTATGACCTCTTTTTCAATACTGTAAATCAACTTTTAAACAAAGCCACCCCAGCCCAGGTCCCGGGGCTGGGGTGACACAGTGTGGGAGCATCGGGACCCCAGGGCTGGGTGTCAGCCAGGGGGGCTGGAGAAGCTGGGCGCTGAGGTGCCCGGCCTCTCTCTGCCAAAAGAAAGCTTTTTTTTTTTTTTTTTTTTGTCATTTAAACATGTTTTTAAGAACAGGGAAAATCAAACAAAACCCCAAGTATTTCCTCCCGCCCCAGAGCCAGCCCCAGGACCGGCCGCCTCGACTCTTTCCCTCCTCTGTTTGGTTTTCTTCTTTCTTCTTAAGCACTTACGTGGGTTGGGGTCAGGCGGGGTCAGGGCTTTCTGGGGTCTGGGGGTCTTCTTGCTTCTCGGTTGGGGTTTGCTGCTGCCATTCTCCCCCTCCCCATCTCAGCACCGGGACTGCCACTCTCCTCCCCCCACCTCTCCCTCCAGGGTTCCCATCTTTGACCCCAAAAATGTCTTTGTCTCTCTCTCTCTCTTTCTCTCTCTCTTGTTTTGTTTGTTGTTGGTTTTATTTTAGTTTTGGTTTCTGTTTTTTTTTTATATATAATTTTGAACTCTGTGTCCAAGGAGAAGCTATTATATTTTGTTAACTGGGTGGGGGGGTGGAAATCCAAGAGGCCATGGTGCCTTTGTAAAGAAACAAAATAAAGTTTGTACTTTGTTTTTTAAGACTCTGTGTCTCTTGTGAGTGTGCCCTCTGGAGAACTTTGGCTAGGCTATCTGGTTTAGACTAAAAGGGTGCTTTTTGGACCCCAAACCTCAAGGGGACAATGTGAAGACTCCTGATTTGTGGTGTGAGTTTGTGAGGAGAGATTGATATCCTGAAATTCACTGAGATTTCTCTAGGTTGTCTGCAAACACGAGAAGATAGTTTACACTCAGGGTGTGAGGAGTGGTCCCTAACTTGTGTGTTTTGGTCCTGGGGCTTGAACTCAAGGCCTGGGCACTGTCCCTGAGCTTTTCTGCTCAAGGCTAGCGCTCTACCAATTGAGCCACAGCTCTATTTACTGCTTTTTTGTAGTTAATTGGAGATAGGAGTCTGACTTTGAACCATGACCCTTAGATCTCAGCCTCCTGAGTAACTAGGATTACAGGAGTGAACTACCCGTGCTTGGCCCAAAGTCAGATGCTCTACTGATTGAACTATCTGGGCTCAAATTACTCCTCTTCCTCCTCCTCCTTGTTCTTCAGCTCCGGGGTTTTAACTCAGGGCTTTGTGGCTCAAGATGTTCCAACTTGAGCAGTAGAGCATGACCAAGGAAGCCATTGCTTCTTAAGGCCAGAACACACTTACTAGTATTGTGTATTCCTCATTCCTCCTGTTGTTCCCACCAATAATTCTTAATTCCTTTCAAAGTACTGAAAAAGATGAATCACTCTATTCAGTGAAATCCACGTTTTGGGGAGATTGACATGGGAAGTCACCACCGCACTCAAGATGATCAATTAATTCTCCCTCCGTTCTCAAAGCAACTCCCGGTTCCTTTGTGGTCACCCCAGCCCCCCGCCATAGTTTCGCCCCTTTCCTAGTGTCATGTCATGCTGTCGGTGAAATGGCAGGCCGCCCTGATGGGTTCCCTGCAGCTTACGAGAAGGCCAACAGAGGGCGCTGCGGGCCCAGGACTCCTGGCTTCGAACTGTGGCTTCACTTCCGGTCCTGAAGGGCTGCTCCATTCCCATAGGCCAGAGGCGCGGATTAGGGCGGGACGATGGAAGTCCTTCCCTTCCCCCCACTTCCTAGAACAGTGACTGCGAGCCGAGCGATGGGTAGGCGGTCTCCGCAGCAGGCGGCGGAAGTCAGGGGCTCGCTCGAGGCTCCGCCCCTTCCCGGAACGGCCCCGCCCTCTCGGTGCGCATGCTCCTTGGCGTCTTGCCGGAGCTCCCGCCTGAGTCGTCTTCTAACCTGTAGCCGGCGCAGCACGCTGTGACGTGAGGACGCCGCCCCGCGCCGCCCCGCGCCGCCCCGCCCCGCGGGCCGAGCTCAGGTGTGACTGGAGCCTCGTCCGCTTGTCCCCGTCCCCGGGAGACACGGGCTCCGCGTGTTTCAGTTCCGCCGTCAGCGGGCGGCGGCCTCGCGCGTACCGGACGCCCCGGCGCGGCGGGAAGGTGAGGGCGTCGGCGCGGCTCGAGCCCCGGCCCGGCCCCGGCCTGTGGCTTTGCTCTTGTTGGGGCGCCGTCCGAGGGGGGCCCTTCCAGAGGGCAGGCGGTGACACGTTCCCCCGCTTCCGCCGGGCACACGCGTCGTTTTCCACCGTGTACACCGGGGGCGGGTCCGTCGTGGGGCCTGAACCCGGGGCCTGGGCGCTGGCCCTCCGCTCTTCAGCTCAAGGCGCCGCAGCGCCACTTCCGGCTTTCTGGTGGTTAATGGAAGAGCCTCATGGACTTTCCTGCCCGGGCTGGCTTTGAACCGCAGTTCTCAGATCTCGGCCTCCTGAGTAGCTAGGATGACAGGCGTGAGCCACCAGCGCCCGGCTTAAATAACTTTTTACATTTTGCAATAATGCAGGGACATCCTGTGCACTCCACTCGGACTCCACCCCACCCGAATGCTAACCTTCTGCATAACTGTAGTGCAATGTAAAAACTAGGTAGAGGGCTGGGAAGGCGGCTCAGTGGTAGAGCGCTTGCCTTGCATGCTCGAGGCCCTGGGTTCGACTCCTCAGCACCACATAAGCAGAAAGAAAAAAGCTGGAAGTGGCGCTGTGGCTCAAGTGGTAGAGCGCTAGCCTTGAGCTGAAGAGCCCAGGCCCAGAGTTCAGGCCCACGACTGGATCTCCCCCCCCAAAAAAAAACCAAACTAGGTAGAATATATTGTTACTGCTGGGTCATCCCAGATTCTTCGTGTCTCTAATGAAGAATGACTACACACACAAAGTGGCAAAGCAGAGTTTAATAAAGAGAAAGAAGTACTCCATTAAGAGAAACAGCAGATCTGAGCTGGGTGACTCAAGAGCAAACATGATTAAGAATTTAATTTTTCAGTGTTGGGAAGGTGGCTCAGTGGTAGAGCGCTTGCTTTGCACGCATGAGGCCCTGGGTTCAATTCCTCAGTACTGCATAAGCAGAAAAAGCCAGAAGAGGTGCTGTGGCTCAAGTGGTAGAGCGCTAGCCTTGAGCTGAAGAGCTGAGGGACAGTGCCCTAGAGTTCAGGCCCAATGACAGACAAAAAAATAAAATGAATGAACTTGTCTAGGATTTGGAGTGTGGGAAGGGCTCATGGTGTTACTAATGGGTTGATCTTAAATGAGGGATCTTGACAGGATCTGTCCCATGTACGAGGCCACTACCCTTGGCTTTAAGTATATGTATGAGATGCGATTCATATGCATAAAGTCTTAAGAGTTTGTTGCAAAAAGGTCAGGCCAAGCACTCAAGAGATTCCACTATGCAGGTTCCTCGCCTCAGCTTGTAGTTTTTCTGCCCCCAGAAAACTGACCATTCATTATACCAAGGAGTAGTGGCCTGGGAGGTACTAGGGAGGAGCTAGAACTCACGGGAGTCTCCTAGGGTGGGTCTAGGAGAAGTGTCTGTTTCAACTTTCTTTTCCTAGAGCCACATGGCCCCTGCCATCCATGGGACTTGTTCACATTTTTACCGACTTTACACTCAGTGACCCGTGTTGGTATGTTGTTCGGTACCTATAATGTAAGAGTGTTCCTGCTGGGTAGCATCCTTATAAGTACTTCTAGTTGTCAGATGATGATGGTGGTGATGATTCCAAACTTCCTGGAAAGTAGACATTCGACCCTCATGGTGGTTCTCATTTCTGTCACCGTGACTCATTTTATCCAATTTAGAATTTCATGTAAATCATAAGAGCATCTATTTCTTTTGTCTATCTTTTTTTTTTTTTTGGTCTGGTCGTGGGGCCTGAACTCTGGGCCTGGGCGCTGTCCCTCAGCTCTTCAGCTCAAGGCTAGCACTTTACCACTTGAGCCACAGCGCCACTTCCAGCTTTTTTCTTTTTGCTTATGTGGTGTTGAGGAATCGAACCCAGGGCCTCATGCATGCAAGGCAAGCACTCTACCACTGAGCAATCTTCCCAGCCCTTGTCTATCTTTTTTGCCTCAGCAACCTATGTCAGAGTAGTTGATGTGTTTGTTCTATCGGCAGTTTGTGCATTTTTCTTGCTGAGTACTACTCCATGTGTGGATATTCCACAGTTTATCCGCTCACCTTGCAATGAGCATTTAGGTTGTTTCTAACTTAGGACTGTTGTACTACATTTTAGTACATGCTGTCCCAAAAGTGGATCGTGTCAGTTTTCTCTTCTGCCCGCATGATACAAAGTGGAGGTTCATTCTAAGTGTGAGTGATGGGCCACCATTTTGGTGGCTGTTTCTTTGGGAGAGGGAATTGGATGTTCTTGGTTCCTGGTGACCTCTCTGATCCTATTTTTAGGGTCTCTATTAGGCATCAGCTTCATGGAAAGTGTGTTCTCTCTACTCTAAGAATGTTGTCAGCAATGATTACATTATCCTTTGTCGCCTTCACAAGGATTCTCAGAAGAAATTCTTGTCAAGCCTCAGCAGCAGAGATAATTTCACTTCTCCCGAGCATTTGGTCTGTTCTTATTTTAAGGACATCACATTGGGACCAGTAGTCAAGTTACAGCCATGTGAGGTTCTTAAATATATACTTTTCCCCCCTAACTTTACTAATGGTTTTTCTGTTTTGTGTGCCTGTCCTTTTTTTTCTTCTACCTCCAGTTTTTCTTCCCCCCGCCCCGCTTTGTGAATTTGTGAGCGCTGTCTGTTCTCTTCCGGTCTAGTGTGGGGTGATATAAACACACACCTTCTATGCCATGACTTAGGTCATCTTTGGTGATGCGGCCGGGCAGTGCCCCAGCCCTGTGTATTAGAGATTTGAAGCTCTGAGTAGTGGAAGAAGGGGGACCTTTGGTGACCTTGACCTCCTTAGTGATGACTAACTGGCCTCAGACCAGTATAGAGACCACAGGCAAATCCTCAAGTAGCCTCCTGGTGCTGGCTGCCGGTGCTGTCCTTACGCTTAGATGTCGCGGGCCCCAGCCAGGCCCATCCTCCTCTTCCTCCGCTATCAGCATGGCTGGTGGCTGTACTGCACTTGTCTTTTTTACTCTTTTGGACTTGAATTGCCCTCCTTGCTCCTGCACATTTGGGTGGGGGTGCGGTTCATACTCCCCTCTACCTTATTCCCTCTCTTCTCTCGCCTTGCTGAATTGCAGTTTCTTCATTGATTGACACGAACGTGTGCTTACCCATAGAAGAGGGTAGGACTGAGGGCTAGGGGCAGGATGGGCCCTAAACCCAACAGCTGTACCCAGGAATGAATTCTGCAAGCTGCCCTCCTCCCGCTCCCCCCCCCCCCCACTACACCCTTGATGTTGAAAAAAGGAGCTGGGAGTGACAGCTGCAGAGCTTCCTGAGCTGGGGGCCCAAGTCCAAGGCTCCCCAGGGTGTCGCCTGTCTTGGTGGACATTCTCAACGTTAGATTAAGCAGCTAAGAGGAAAGGGATCTTTGAACATCAGAAACTGACCAAGATTAAATGGGACAGGCCTTTTGCTGAGGGCTCCCGGGGACTATGGAAAGTGCAACAGATCCCAAACCCAGACCCCGAGATATCAGGGTCTGATCTGGTCTTCCCAGACCCTTGAGAGATGATGGGCTTGGGGATGGATCTAGCAAGCCAGCTGCCAGAGGGAGCACACTGCAGGAACCCTGACAGCTAGTACCCAGCGCAAGGGGCCTGAGGCCCTCACATGGCCTCCCTACCCTGCCCCCACCAGTCTCCTCTCCTCATACTTCGTGTTAGTTCTGCGAGCTACACACTCATGGTCTGTGTGCTTAGCAAGTCTGTAGATTAGAGTTTAATGATGTGGTAGTAGATGCCTATACCCTTATAACTTGGGAAGCTGAGGCAGGAGAATTGAAAGTTTGAGGCCAGTGTGGACATGAGACCCTGTCTTAAAGGAGAAAGCACTGAGAAGTTGAAACATCTCCGTGCTGCAATCACATGTGTGTCCCACAGCTGAGCACACGCCATGACACTAAACCCTACTACTATCAAAACAACAGCCGCAAAAACAATAACACAACAACCCCAAAACAACAACAACGAACTGCTACTTGAAAGACACTTATATTAATGGGAAGAGAAAACACTTGCACATCGTGTATATGATGAAAGGATTTCTTTCTGCCACGCGTAAATGACCAACAAGCAAATAAAACAAACTTACAATAGACGAACAAAGGATTCAAATGGATACCTCATCAAAAACACAGCAAAGAACTATCCTTAATATCATTAATCATTAGGAAAGCATGATTCATGTCTGTAACTCTTGCTAGTCAGGAAGCTGAGATTTGAGTATTGATGTTTGGAGCCAGTCTGAGCAGAAAAGTCCTCAAGACGCTTATCTCCAATTAATAAGCAAAAATACCAACCAGAGGTGTGGCTCAAATGATAGAGTGTCAGTTGTGAGCAAAAAAGTTCCAGCAAGTGGTTGAGGACCTAAAGTTCAAGCCCTGTTATCCCTACCTCCCCCCTAAAAAGTAGTGGGATACTACTGCACATATGTTAGAATTACTAATGGGGTTAGGAGTGGGGATCATGGGTAGAGTTCTTGACAAGCCTTGCTCCTGGCCTTGGGTACCATCCCCAGCAGCATTAAAAAAAAAAAAAAAAAAGACATGATATGAAGTTTTGGTGAGGATTGGGAATGATTGGAACTTCCATGCTCTGTTGATGAGAATATCAAATGATAGAAAAGTTGGACAGCTTCCACCATATGGCCCAACCATTTCCATTCCTGGGCATTTATTTGAGAGAATTAAAAGCTGTGTCTGTAAATTGACATGTACACAAACCATTGCAACTTTTTGTTTGTTTGTTTGTTTTTTTGGGTCCGGTCTTGGGGCCTGAACTCTGGGCCTGGGCGCTGTCCCTCAGCTCTTCAGCTCAAGGCTAGTGCTCTACCACTTGAGCCACTTCCGGCTTTTTTCTTTTTGCTTATGTGGTGCTGAGGAATCGAACCCAGGGCCTCAGGCATGCAAGGCAAGCACTCTACCACTGAGCCACCTTCCCAGCCCCCTGCAACTTTTTTTTTTTCCCCGGTCATGGG